TCAACTCTTATCTTTACTAATTATTAAGCTGTATTGCATTGTCATTATATGTTGCAATATATGGATGTAAACTGTGCTGAACATGGGATATTTCAAACACTAAGAAAATTTCCTAATACTTGTTAATATATTTTGCAAATAAACCTCTGGTTCTGCAATCACTAAACATAGTGAGTTTATAATGCTTGACTAAATACTAAATAAATGTAACTTTCAATGTAAAGCCTCCAGAATAACAAAATGTTCCAGAACTCTGACACCATGCATAAAAACTCTCTGAGTGGAAAAACTGCTGATGCTGTGCTGCTGGTATCATAGCATGGGACAGAGTAGCTTTTTTTAAAGGCTGATGGAATATTAGGAGACAGCTGTGCTCTCATCAGCTGAAACAGACCGCACTGCACAAACAGACTGCAACTGCTGAGATCACCGTGGAGCTCAAAGTCAAAAATCAAGGCTGACTGATCCCATAAACCAAACCGTCTGCCTTTCCAAATCAAGCAAGACCAAGAACTACTGGGCTGTACAAGCATGGAGTGCTACAGCCAGTGCACAGAAAAGAGGAGTATGAAAGGAGAGCAGATATTAGCTCTTTCATGCAGTCCTCTTGGGGACAGAATAAACTCGTTTAACTCACAGCATATAGCACTGAGGAGCTGGGGAGGGAGGACAATGCTGCAGTCATCACAGTAACCACAAGTAAATGCTGTCAAAATTGACAGTACTAGTAACTAAGCAATCTACTGATTATTTTAATTCATTAAGTATTCAGAGTTTTTAAAGCCTAAACAACAAAAATGAACATATGAAATACAAAAACATGCATAAAACATGCTGTTCGTCCAAAAGTTCCTTCTGAAATCAGGTGTTTGTCCTGCTTTGCTGCAGTAACAACCTCCACGTATTCTGGCAAGGCTTTACACTAGATGTTGAAACATTGCTGTGAGAATTTGAATGCATTCAGCTACAAGAGCATTAGTGAGGTCAGCTACTGATGTTAGAAGATTAGCTCTGGTCACAAACGCAACTCTAATTCATTCCAAACATGTTGGTTCCACTGCTCTACAGCCCAATGCTGGGATTTATAGCCCTCTAGCTGACATTAGGCATGGTGATCTTATGCTCATGTGCTGCTGCTTCAGAGCATGACTGTATTGGCTGTGCTTTTCTATGGATATTATACAAGCTGAAAGTGCACAGCTGAACACTATCAGCAATGAGTGTACCTTAAAATAACTGAAATCACTAATAGTAGTGTGTCTGAATAATTTTGGAAGTATAGAGAAGATTAAATAGGAAGCCTTTAAAAACTCTTAAATAAATATAAAACCACTGTGTCAAAAAATGCACATTTGGGGCGTCAATTAGCATCAGTTTCTTACTCCACTGAGGCCAGCAGGAGAATAAAAATATGCAGTATAATCATATAAGTTGCCAATTAGTCCCTGTCGCTTCATGGAGAAGACACATTTTACTTTTTTTTAAATTAGGTAATCTAGATTAATTGATGGTGACAGCCCTAGCTGATTCATGTTTCACATTAGCATAGTGGTATTAATCTTATATTGTTTTTACCATCTATTGCTCTACGATGCAATGTTAATTTTCTCTAATCAATAAAACTTAGCTAGATTTGACGTGGTCATGCACACACTCACACCTGATCACTACTGTAAATCTCTTAGGGAAATGTGAGCAGACACAGAGCTGACTCAATTTCCCTTGATCTTTCCTAATTTTTGGAATGCTGGTAATGAATTCAGGCCCATAGCTCATTAAGCAGTGAGTAAGAGAAAGAGCTCAGCGCTAGAGGCATCTGCACATGGTTAATAGTGAGGTACAGATGCTCCAGAAAGGTGGAACGTTGATTATAGCTGATAGCTATCAGGGTAACTCCCTCGAGACCTAGCCTTTTTACCTCTGCTTTTTAGTTTGATGTAATATGTAGAGTTCATTTACCATACTGTAGCATGGCATGTGCTACCCTGGGCTCAAGGAGGACGCTGGAGGCAGGGTTCAGTACTGCAGCAGCCATATTTTATTTCCTCAAACTCAAACGAAGCAAAGCTATGCTAAGCTGGCCACTTTTCAGTGGCTTTCAACTAACTAGACTTTTCAGTCTTTTTACTCTTTTTAATCTTTTCAGCTCTTCCTCAGTCTTTTGTTGTTTCTGCTTCTGCTGCTGCTTGTCCCTCTCTCTCTCGCTCTGTTCCCTCTCAGCTCTTTTAAAAGGCGCTCACACTACCAGCCAGATCAGCATCAACTGGCTCTCATTAAGGGCAGCGTGAGCACCTGAGCCGAGAGGGAACGAGAGCTCGCCACTCCGCCTCCCCGTCACCGCCCCCAGCTTGCAGCTCGGCCGCATGGGTCGAACATGAGGTGAGTGAAGCGGCCTCACTGCGTACCAGGGGGCGGGGCTCGGGTGGTGGACCTCGGGACTCGCTCGTGCCTCTTGTGTCCGGCACCGTTGTTCTCCTCCTCCCGCGGTTACTCGCGTGACTGGCGTCCCTCAGTGGAGCACGGGCTTTGCGCTCCGGCTCCTCCACACGCTGAGTGTTCGGGCCCCGACGATGACGGCCGCGAGAGCATGCCACACATACCATTCACTGCCCACTGTGTGCAGCATATACACTATTTGGACAAAAGTATGTGGACACCCCTTTTAATAACTTAGTTTAGGTGTTTCAGCTTCAGCCGTTCTACTACCTGTGTTCATCTTTAGAGGTTGATTGGCTATGTGCTTCATTTTATACACTTGTTAGCAAAGAATGTAGCTGAAACACCTGAAATAAGTTATTAGAAGGGGTGTCCACATACTTTTGTCCTCTCTAGATTAATACTGGCAGTAGAATTGGCTGCACTAAACAGCTCAGTGACTTTAAATGGGGCAGGATGTGTATAGGATGTGCCCTGCTAAATCTGCCCAGTCAACTGTAAGTTCTATTACTGTGACATGGAAGTGGCTAGAAGCAACAACAGCTCAGCAACAAAGCAGTAGACCACACAAACTCGTAAAGCACGACTGCCTATCCTCTGCTGCATTACGTATTATAAAGTTTTAAACTGCCTCTGGAAAAAACATCAGTACAATAACTGTGCCTCAGGAGCTTCATGTAATGGTTTTGCCATGGCCAAGCAACTGCACAGAAGTCTCAAGATCACTATGTGCAATGCCAAGCATTGGATGGAGTTGTGTAAAGCATGCTGCCACTGGACTGTAGCAGTGGAAACATGTTTGCTGGGTGAACCAGCCTTCACTAACTGTGATGTATGACTCTGGGTTTGGTGGATGCCAGGAGACCTACCATAATGCACAGTGCTAACAGTGAAGGTTAGACGAGGCGGGATAATGGCCTGGGGCTTTTTTTCAGGGTTTGGTCTAGGCCCCTTAGTTCTAATGAAGGGTCATGATAATGCTACAACATACAAAGACGTTGTAGACATTTTAAATTATATGCTTCCAGCTTTGTGGCAATAGTTTGGGAAGGTCCTTTCCTGTTCCAGTGTGATTTTCAGATGTTAAGAAAACCAACACATTTCCATGTATACATTAGCCTATACAGCCTACAGCATCTCCATCCATTCACTTTTAAGCCAAGAGGGAATGGAGTGTTGCACCTTGGATTGCTTTTTGAGTGAGGTACAATACGGGGTAGCAAATCAAAAGACAGTTCATTCACATCTTAGGGGCACAGTAACGAACACAGCTTGTTTAATTCTATGGGATAAACAGAGGTTGGAAAACGGTCATATAAAAATGAATTGTTACTGTTTTTGGCACATAAACTCAAACAAACATCATACCTAACCTCAGGGAGGAAATAAAATACAAGACAAATGTAGGATATGGGCTCTGTAAGCTAAACAGCAAAAGCCAGGCTTTTGATTTAGCCAGAGACAGTAGATCAGTCAGTAACGCCTGTTATATTAATTTGGTACAGATTAACTATACAGCCTACGTAGTTTGAGATTTTATGAGCAATTCCACTTCAGACACAGCCCTCCACCTTCAACAAATGTCATGTTAATGTTGCAAATAAACTGACAGGCCCCTTCTCCATCAATTTTTAAGATTCATGATTCAAGAGTTTACAAACACCATTAACCCTACACCCTTATACTGTTGTCCCTATAGTGGCTATTCCACTGGTGGAATATAATTGACTTTGATATTTTTATTAATAGAATCAACATTAACATTTTCCCATGTAACTCTGTTATCAGATTAACAGGGATACTGCTGGCTCTGTTTGTGAAATGTTGTGACTTTGTGTTGAGCTGCTAGTGAGCAATGAGGGACGAAATGAGAGAAGTGAGAACCTCCTGCTGTGAAAATAATTTACTTCTCTGCAAAAACGACTGTGCCAAGCTAAAACTGCAGTTTTTGTCATATAAACAAAATTGAGCCTTAATTATAAATAGCATTTAAACACAGTAAAAACATTTTTATACATGCTCACTTACTTGCTTGCCTATGAAGACAAAAATATATTCTCCCAGTTTTGTAAATCATACACATTTCCATCATACAAATGCCATCTCTCCATCTCTCTATCTACACTATATCAATGTTACTGAAAAAAAAGGCAAAGTTCAACTGAGAGACTTCCAAAACAGGTGGAAACTGCCTATTCTGCCTACATAGAAAGAGACAAATGTAATTGTGTAACACAAAACATGGCTCTAGCACACGTGAACAGTTGACCAGTAGCACTAGAGAAGCATTGCTGTGTAAAAATAAAAGGACAACCTGTTACAAAACACTACACTGCTAAACACATTAACTTCCAGTCCACAAGTTAAGGGGAGATAATGACAGATTTTGTTGAAACAGCTCTTCAGCTGCAGTATGGTCTTCTCCTTTGGCTGTGGGTTTCTCTCTATCTATGCTGCCCTAGATCCACACACCATGGAGCTGCATCCAAGTGTTCTCTTAATCTGCTCACTGACAATGAACACCCCAGAAGCCTGCAGTGTGCAGAACTGTGGAACGGACTAACCTCTTATCAGCCAGATCTGTTTTATTGCCCACAAGCATAATGATGACATCACTCCCTCGCTCCGTTCTGACGTCATCAATCCATTTAGAGGTTTGCTGGAATGAATTCACATCTAAGAGAGAGAGAGAGAAAGAGAAAGAGGTTCACCAATAGATGCCTGCTTAAAGTAAATGCACAATGTTACTTTGCATGATTTCTAATTTAATTTCCAGATATGAATGATGAGTTCCAGTAATGCTTCCTATGATAACTGGAAGGAGTACGCAGGGAGGTTGAAATGCAAATAAAGTTTATTGGTGGTTAGATGTTCATTAGGTTACCCAAAATTTCATCTCTACTGAAAGAAGAAAAAATTGCAATGAGAGCAAACATAGTATATCATCTTCTGTCTAATAAACACCAAAGAAAACTATTTTAAATCCATCAATGATTAATTAAGAAATATCTTTAAAAAACCAATGAAAACACAAATCTGACATGAGGAGCTAATTACACAATAAACAATAAAAATGCTTTTTTTGTTTGTTTTTACATTTGAGCCTGACAATTTTATTATGGCCAAAAAGCAAGAAGCTTATATTTTACTGAATATGACTATATTCAGTTCAAACATTTAAAAATTGACACAGTTGAATCGGTGACCTTCAGCATCTCCACACCCCTAACTTTAAAGCATTTTTGATGCAGTGACTACAAGTGCTGGAGACATATCTGAGTAACTCTGTACTATGTGAGATCAAAGCTTGGATCTCATCAGAAACAGACATTAACGGCCTTGGTACCGCCTCAAGGTCAAACTGACACTATTTGAGGGTGTTCTGCTAATAAAATTACACTTTACTATTCATCTCCCCAAGGCAGCCGTATCAACCATGCCATGTTCAGCTGTGAAAAGAAAACATAGCATGCATGCTCTGGCCTCTGACGGTCATGGTGGGATTTAAAGCTAATAAAGCTGTCATCTTTTTGTTGGGCTAAATAAAAGGAAGAAGCACATTGAGTCTCTGGGGCTGATATTATACAGTCATGCAGTTTATGTTTAAACAAGGACAGAGTTACAACAGTGTTCTATATCATAGCCTGACACTGCCAACATGGAACTTTGGGTGGGGTTTAGGGGTGGGGGGTTTGTTGGGGTACGTGCTTTTGATCTACCCAGATACAAGCAGATCAGATTTTTAAAAAACAGTAATTATCTGCTATAACCCATATGAATCCAGTATCATTGTGCAGCCCTACAGAATTTGGCTAATCAGTACTTTGTCAAGTCAAATCAGGTGTGCTGCTGGTGGAACTGAACAAGTCCATTCAATGATTGAATTCTCACCACTGAGAATTCTCTCCAGCTCCCAAGATATTATTACACCAAAAATGTTACTTTTTACTTTTTAATGATTATTTGTATTATTCTAATGCTATACAATGGTTTTACTTTTGCACAGTATTGCTTGAGAATACTGTGTGTGTGTGTGTGTGTGTGTGTGTGTGTATACAGTCATATGGAAAAGTTTGAACACTCACAGTTAAAAAACATATTTCTGTTTTTTTTTAGGTGAAAATAAGTAATGCATCCTCTACTTCTGCACCTGCATAATTACTGTTTATTTGCTGAATTTTAAAAAATTGGAAAAAAATAAAAATAATAAAATGTGTCCTTTTGTATTTTCACTTACAAAAAAAAGAGAACACTTTAAATGCAGCTGTATATAACTGCATATAAAACACTCACTTGTGATATCATACACCACCACGGCAACAGTGGAGTCTCGTATGTAGCTTGGGATGAGGCTCCTGAAGCGCTCCTGTCCTGCTGTGTCCCACAACTGCAACCGCACCTGCAGTTCACACAGCAGGGAGAAAACACAGTCAGGCATCATTTAGCTTTAAACACACAAACACACACACACACACACACACACACACACACACACACACACACACTGTGACTTGTAAAATTCTGCCCCAAATTGTATTTTTTTCAGACAGTACAAAGATTGTTTTGGTGCTACCTTTGTTTTGTTTGTATTATATGTAAAGCTGCCTTTACAAATTCAAGCATTTGCTACTCCATCCAAAATCATAACATTTTCCATTCCACTGCAGCCCCCCAACAACAGTAAGAGCAAAAAAAAAAAAAGAGATTAAAAAATCCCAAACCGTTCGCTTTTTGTCACTTTTTTCTTTTTTATGAAAGAAACTGAACTGATGACTGAAGAGTGCAGTACTGTAGTGTAGCATTTGATAGACTCTTACAGCACTCCATCATGGGAAAGAGAAGATTTGACAAGAGCCTTACTGTTCTGTCCTCCAGATACATGGTTTTTGACAGGAAGTCTATTCCAATCGTCGCCTGAAAGGGAAGAAGAAAATAACATTACAGTCATAAGGAAGACTGATCATATCACTCAACCTGGTTAAAGATAAAGATTATGGGGAGATTTATGAAGCCAAACCCTGAAGTGACTTTTCTGTGGGTGGTACACGTTAAGTAGCTGTTGATAATGTCATTAGAGTCTGTAAGAGCTGTTAAGAATTGAAAGTGACAGCCACAACCCTAGGCTATAATTCTGATGAGGGGAATATTCACATTATTTTCCACCCTATAATCAGCCTCCTTTTATGGCACTTTAGGAATGATTTGCAGTTTACTGATGCTGAACATACCTGGACTATAAATACAGCCACATCTGGAGTAAAGATCATGAAACAAAAATCCTTTATTTATTATCTGATAGTTTTTTATGCAAGAAAAAACAATGAAAAACAATGCATCAATCATAAGGGTTACAAAAACAGGAATTAGGAATGCAATCCTCTTTCCAACACGGCGTTTAAACTGGCTGCTCAAGTATCTGATTGATCTGTATTGATCTGACTGCTGCTGATTTATTGGGGTGGAAAAGTACAGAGAAACTGTACTTAAACAAAAGTACTATGTCAAAATCTTGCACAGTTAAAAGTGCAAACATGGAGCCATAAAATATACTTGAGTAAATGTCAAAAAGTACTGGCATTCAAATATACTTAAATATATAAAAATAAAAAGTGAATGTTTTTACAGATACACTAAAGGGCCTGTACCATGGAAAACCAAATTTCCCCTCACTTCTTTGAAAAAAGGGAGTTTGAAGTAATATGTAAACATCGTTAAAGTTTCAAAACATACTATTCACTAACCAGTCCATATGGTCCATGTATGAAAACCAAGCTGCAAAACCAGCCTGTTTCAAATTCACTGTTTTTGGGATTTCACAACTAATTTATATTCATCCACCTATTCAATCTACAGCAGTTTAGCCCTCCCTATTCATTGTGAAGTGGATTGTTAAGTAGTGTTTCAGTTCAGACCGATTTTTGAATGAGGCACATTCAATCAGAGCAAAGCTCATTCATCTTATATCAGTCGTAAAAGCACAGTAACAAAAGGGCCAGTTTAACTCTAAGGGATACAGACAGGTTGGAAAATGGTAATGTAAATATTAATTGCTTTTGGTGCATAAAACCACACAACTGTTCTAACTGGACCATACAAACTGACTTGCAAAAGAAAAAGAGAACAATCTCCTGGCCTCTGAGATTTGTAATGAGTACTTCTAAGGTCTAAATGTAATTAAAAGTACAAGTGTTCAATGTCAATAGTACAAATCTTCCAAAATCATACTTAAGTGTAGTAATGTAGTACAGTTTCCACCCTCCCATTAACCTTTGTCATGTCATCATATACAATCCTATACATCCTGTGGGCAGCATCCTGTGACCACTGATGAAGGACTAGAGGATGACCAATACAAACTGTGCAGCAGCAGACGAGCTATCATATCTAACTTTACATCTACAAGGTGGACTGACAAGGTAGGAGTGTCTAATAGAGTGGACAGTGAGTGGACAACTCACTAAAAACTCCAGCAGCACTGCTGTGTCTGATCCACTCAGACCAGCGCAACACACACTAACACACCACCACCACATCCGTGTTACTGCAGTGCTGAGAATGATCCACCACCCAAATAGTACCTGCTCTGAGAGGGTCGATGGGGGTCCTGACCACTGAAGAACAGGGTAAAAGTATGCAGAGAAACAGATGGACTACAGTCTGTAATTGTAGAACTACAAAGTGCACCTATATAGTAAGTGGAGCTGATAAAATGGACAATGAGCATAGAAACAAGGAGGTGGTCATAATGTTATGCCTGATCGGTGTATGTAAGGCATTACAGTTACATTTCGTTTATATTCAAATAGACAGTTTTGAGTCTGCACTTCTGAGACATTTTCTTTTGTCTCCATCAAAAACAAATCAAAAAGGATCAGACATCAGATATTGAGAACATCTATGCAAGACATATATATCTAATCCCTGTATGTAAAGACTTGCAGCATTAGAGAGCATTACTCTTCTATTTCTTTGCTAAGCATTTGTTTTGTTAATCTGAGTATTAACAGGTTGGCCAGTCACAAGCTAAGCCAAAAGAACACCTAATTCACTTGTTGTTGCTGTGAGGATTTTTGAAAAAGACTTGTAGTGTGTTTATCATCTGTCTAGGTTTTTAAGGAGCTAAATGTTTGGAGGTCTGTGATAGAGCGCTGCCCTGTGTGTCTGTGCTGGTGTGGACCAGAGATGGGCAGATGGATGGATGGATGGATGGATGGATGGATAGAGGGATGGATGGATGGAGGAGAGCTGATGATCACTACTTCAATCTAAGTGTGGAGCTCGGCCTCACCTGTCCGAGGGTCAAAGCGCTGCTCTTTTGGGCCTGATGTAGTGGAGTTGTGATAAGATAAATCCTTCTCAAGCACAAAAGAGCTGATAAAAAGAACAACCTCAGAGCTACAAACTGGGGTGAACTGAATGGCCTTTCACTACCACTGTTGAATCAGATTGTGTACATGTATCTAAGCAATTTACAATATCCAGTAGAGTCATTTTCACCAAGACAGTTCAGCATATTGTATGTACTGTACTGTCAAGTAGGGCTACATGATGGACAAAATATCATTTTTCCACCAGGCAGCTTGGTACAGCACAGTACAATTACAAATCCAAACCCAGAATTGTTCACACCCTGGTCGAGTACCTGTGTCCGTTTCCACTTACACCAAAATCGTTGTTGGCAGAGTTGTCATCAGCTTGAGTGGTCATCTGTGTGGTCATTTTTCATGCAAATATAGCATTAGCAATAAACATAAACAACAGTAGAAACAATGAAGGAGCTTTATGATCTAATTTACCTTTTACAGTGTATGGTTTTATGTGAGAGTCACAGACAAGAATTCTGGCTAGCCAGTGTTTTTTTATATATACAGTGGTCATCTGACTCCACTGACACTGTGTGACGGTTCTGTGACCTTTGCGACTGACTAGCTCCACCCACAGTTTCTGGTTTGGTGCGCTTAGTAACCAGCGAGAAGAGTAACTACATTCAGCATGGGTACTAAGTTATGGAAAACTGGGCAATGGAAATGATGACAGCATGCATGATCAAGATTTGTAAATGTACCGTACTGCCCAGTAGAAAAAATGCTATTAGTAAATTAGAATTCTGTCCTGTCCTCCAGTTTCATGGGTTTTCACAAGTCATTTATTATGTACTTGGTATTTTCACCATTGAAAGTTCAGTATATAGTGTATTGTCTAGTAGAGCTGCACGATGTGGACAAAATATCATGTTGTATTGATACTGCTACATATTTCGATTGTGATATGCCTTGCAATGTACTAAAACACACTGGTGGACTTTTGACATGGTGATCAATTACATATTTTATATTTGATGGATCATGTGAATGCCTTGATTCATCCTGACATGAAAAGAATCAGTGAATGGTCAAGATTCAGTGAAAGGTTAGAGGCTTATTTGGATATTGCAGGCTTATGCAGTATATGTACTGTGAAGAATCACAATGACAATTAGCAAATAATACATTGTCCTGTTGTCTATTATGAGGGCAGCTGGACTTAAATTTTGAACTGGTGAAGGGCCACAGAAGCCCAGTGAAATGTCTTCATGATTATATCACAAGTCCTGTTTCACTGACATACTACACTCTTAAAAATAAAGGCTGCTCATAGGGTTGGAACAATTATTCAACACTACTGTTCATGTTGACAATAAAAAAATAATCCACTTTTACATTTCCATTTCTGATTTTTGTGTTTACATTTTCAAAGTTACGTCCCACCTAGAGTGAGATAATGACTTATCTTGAAGAGGCAGCAATTCACTCACAGTGTTGTATGTGAGCAGATAGCGAAAGAAGAAGAAGTATGGCTAGACATTATGAAAGGAAGTAAAGTCTGGGAGAATTTTCTTAAATTGAAGGATAATGTAGTTACATACAACATATGGAAGCCTGACAACACACTGAATCATGTGGAAATGGAAGCTTTCCTCCATGCCAGTACTCTGACACACCAGACTACTCCCTGAGGACATGCAGTTTGCGCTTTAAGAAATTTGTCAGAATGAGTAAAAATTACCCTTTCAAAATCCACTGAAGCCCTTCATGACAGATTACTAATGTTAGTCACAGGAATGTTTTAAACCTATCGGTTTCTGTCAATTGGAAGTACTGAGCAGGCTACTTAAAAAAAACTACTAAACATTCAGCAATGTTACATGCATTAGCTAGATAACTACCTCATTTCGTAAACATAGTTTTCATATGAAAAAGAGCCATCCGCTCATCCTGGAAACCCATTTACAAAGCTCATCTACTGTACCAGCACAATAAAATCTTTAAACCGGTTACTGAAAGCTTTACAGTTCATGATGGGTCAAAGAATGACTTCAATATATTTCTGTAGAAATGTATAAGAATAATGTTAATAGTTCTTTAAAGACAAAAATAGTTTTATGTTGTATAATCTTTTTTGGGTCAACACTAAATCTTGTTTGGACTGTCAGGTTTATAAGAAAGTACACCTTATCGTGTTCACTTGTGTTTTGTTTGCAACCCTGATTCGTTATCAGTGTTCTAACTTTCTCATTTCGTGTCAGAGTATTTCATTCCACGTGTACCTCTCTGTGTTTTGCCTTTCATTGTTTGATACTGTGTGTTTCAGCTTCTGTAAGTTTGAGCTTCTTAGTCTAGCTCTGTTTTCTAGTTGTGTTCTCCTTTGTTTCTTTTCTCATGGATTCCTTTGCTTTGTTTCTGCCTGTTCATTGTCTTTGTTTGTCAACATTGACTAAAAAGCTGACTTGCAAATCCATCCAGTCTTCTCGCCTGCTCTGCCAGTACGAAGTGATTCTTTAAAGTGCCATTCACTGAAAGGTTATTTAGGGAAGCAAAAGCAGTTCTTCTGTGGCATCTCTCCTAAGAACCCTTTTTTGGCACCTTTATTTTTAA